AGTTTCACAGTTGAGCGGTTGTTTCGCAGCATTTCAGGAAGAAGCTAAGATGGCACACCGAGTCAGGTATTTGAGAGAAAGGACAGGGAGGTGGTGAGAGGTATGGAAGAAATCAAAAGAAGCAGAAAAAAGCAACACCAGCAGCCAACAAATGGCACTCAGGGAGCTGGCCAGTGTGGGCGGGTGGAATCCAAGCAGCACCGTGGTTAAGCTGGTGCTTCCCGGTCAAGAGACTGTGGCCGCAGGAAGCAGAGGAGGCCGAGTGGGGGAGAAGACGGTTGGGGGGTGGGAAAGCATATATTGCTGGTTACCAGTTTTTCTGTCTCCTGCTGGAAGCTCCGTGAAGCTGCTTTCTCGTACCCCGTTCGCTGATCTCCAATGGGAGTCCAAGATGGCGGACCCGTGCTGTGTTAGCTGATAGGGGACCTCTGCATGTATCTCTCCTCGCTCTCTGTTCTCGTCAGTTTCTTATTCCATTCTGTGCTTGGCTGAGTTCTTTATCTCTTCATTTGATGCTTAGGGTTTCAGGATTGACATCTGTCTCTGTTTGACTTAGTTTTTCAGATCTTTGCTGTGGAGGGATGGCATGGTGCTTCTGTCTACAGTGCCAGGTTGCCCGGAAGTGGATCTCTATGAATTCTTATACAGTTAACTTTTTACCCCTTTTTAAATAGACTTTAATTTTTAGAACAGTTTTAAATTTACAAAAATATTGATAGTACAGAGTTCCCAGATACTCTGCACTCAGTTTCCCTATTATTAATTTCTTATATTAGTATGATATACTTATTACAATTAATAAACCAATATTGGAACATTATTATTAATCAATCCATAGTTTATTTAGATTTCCTTAGTTTTTCCCTGAAGTCCTTTTTCTATTCCAGGATCCTATCCAGGATACCACATTACATTTAGTTGTCATGTGTGCTTAGGATTGTCTCGACTGTGGCAGTTTCTTGGCTTCTGATGACCCTGACAGTTTTTTAGGAGCACTGGTCATGTATTTTGTAGGATTGTCCACTACTGAAATTTGTCTGGTGATTCTCCCCTGGTTAGAACAGAGTTATGGGATATTAGGATGAAGACCACAGCGGCGGTAAACTGCCATTTTCATTACTTCATATCAAGTGTACACAATATCAACATGATTTATAACTGCTGATGTTAGTCTTGATCACCTAAATGAGGCAGTGATTGTAAGGTTTCTCTGCTGTAAAGTTACTATCATCTCTCCCCCTTTCTATGCTGTAATCTTTGAAAGGAAGTCAGTATGAGCAGCCTACACCTCAAGAGTGGGGAGTTATTCTCCCCCTCCTTGAGGATGGAATACCTACAAAAATTATTTTGAATTCTTCTGAAAGGGAGGTTTGTATTTTTTCCCTCATTTATTTAATCATTTATTTATATCCATATGAACTCATGGATATTTACTTTATACTTCGCGTTATAATTCTATACTAATTTAGTTTTTGCACAGATCATTCCACCTACGAACATCTGAAGCTCTTTCAGTTGGCTCCTGTGTGCCTTTGAAATACCCTCATCAATGTTTTTTGCTTGTTTTGAGCACTTCCTTACTTTCTGATACTACAAGATGCTCCAGGCTAATCTTGTATATTTCCTGCCCCAGTTCTCAAAACATCTGTTTTTCCAAGGAGCCCCGGTTCCTTTTATTGAAGAATGGTATTAGAAACTGAGATATGGATGTTAGGCTTGTTGATGCTACTGGGATGTCATTTCTTCTAGGTTCTCTCAGCTGACAGAGAAAAAAATATACGTAACATATATATATATACACATACATATAAATATTTCTATAAGTAACCATCTGTATCTATATTAAGTTAGACATGAGTTCATTCTGATATCTCCAACTTTAATCCATTACCACATGGATCATACTAGGCTCCTCCCCTTGCTTCTCTGTAAACTCTCACTCTATTAGTGAGACCTGGCTCCCATGATCTGCCATCCATTTACCTAACTGTTCCATTCCAGTATACATGTATGGTAGTGTCAGAATTATTAATCTATACCACCATGGGAAACAATTTTATCAACTATAGTGCTTATGTGCAGTTCATTTTGCTTTTAGTCTTCCAGACTCCACACATTTCCAAAGATACTTAGGTCAACAATTTTTCTCCCCATTCCCTTCAGTGAGGTTGTTTTATGTATCTGTAATACAGTTAGATTCTCTTGTAACAGTCTGCCATCTTTCCTGGGATCCCCTAACTTTCTAAATGATTTTTAAATGTTTATATGCAGAGAATACCAGAAATATTTTTACCTGTGTTTTATCGACTCTGTGAAGGCATTCCCACTGTGTGTATCATAACAAATTATGAATAACATTTGAAGAATGGTAATTTCAGAACATTTAATTGTGCACCTGTGGATCAAAGGTAGTAGTTTGAACAGAATATGGGAATACTGCATGGCTCAAAATTGAAAAAGGCGTGTGGCAAGGTTGTGTTCTTTCACCTTACTTATTCAATCTGTATGCTGAACAAATAATCCAGGAAGCTATATAAAAAAAGGATGTGACATCAGGATTGGAGGAAGACTCTAACAATCTGGGATATGCAGATAACACAACCTTGGCTGCCAAAAATGAAGACGACTTAAAGCACTTAATGATGAAGGTCAAAGGCCTTCAGTATGGACTACACCTGAACATGAAGAAACCAAAAATCCTCACAACTGGACTGATAAACAATATCATAATAAATGGAGAAGTAATTCAAGTTGTCAACAATTTGGAAGCAGTAGTCAAGAAATCAAATGATGTACTGCATTGGGCAAATCTGCTGCAAAAGACCTCTTCAAAGTTTTAAAAAGCAAAGATGTCACTTTGATTACTAACGTGCATCTGACCCATGCCATGGACTTTTCAATTGCCTCATATGCATGTGAAATTTGGATAATGAAAAAGGAAGACAGAAGAAGAACCGATGCGTTTGAACTGTGATATTGGTGAAGAATACTGAATATACCATGGACTGCCAAAAGAACAAAAAAAAATCAGTCTTAGAAGAAATACAACTAGAATGTTCCTTAGAAGTAAGGTTGGCAAGACTTCAACTTGCTTATCTTGGACATGTCATCAGGAAAGACTGATTACTAGAAAAGGGCAACATGTTTGGTAGAGGGCCAATGAAAATGAGAGAAACCATCAATGATATTGACATGACAGCAGGCCACAACAATGGACTCAAACATACCAACAATCATAAAGATGATGCAGTACCAGGCAATGTTTCATTCTGTTATACATAAGGTCACCATGAGTAAGAGGTGACTCAACAGCAACTAACAACAACAAGAAGATTCATTCAATTTCCTCTAGTGTCCTTGTTTTTGTCTCCTTTGCTGTTTCTGGTTTCCATAAAAACTCCTTCTTAATTAGAGTTTAAGTCTTGGAGCTCTTTCAGCTATAAACCACTGTTACTACACTAGAACCCTGTTGATGTGGTTATAAGGTTTGGGCAGGGGAAGCGTTCTATGATTTATGATTAAAACTCAGTTTTTTATTGGTCCTGCGTACCTGGGCTGTGACCTTCAGAAGCACGTCTTAGCCTTTTAATCCTTTTTCTTACCTGGGGGCTAGAGCTGGCCAATTGCATCTCCCCTAGGTCAGATAAGGTTTGGGTAATGTATTTTCCCTTGGAGGGCAAACGTGTGTTATGGAGAGTGCTCTGGGCATATTTCAAAATATTCAACAGGAAAATGGATAAATGAATTATGGTATTTTTCTATAATGAAATACTACATTGTACACTGGAAATAAACTTCAAAAACATAAATATTGAGCCAAAAAATCAAGCTGTAGAAGAATGCAGAGTATAATTTATGTAGTTTTAAAATATGTAGAACTATATGTTGTTTAAGTGCTCAACTATTAGCTGAAAGGTTAGTGGTTCAAATCCACCCAGAGGTGTGTTGGAAAACACGCCTGGCGATCTGTTTCTGAAAGGTCACAGCCTTGAAAACTCTATGGATGTTTACTCTGAAACACATGGGGTATAATATATAATGCTTTATCTTTTTTTAATTAAGCAAATATGGAAAATGCTAAGACTTGATAAAGATGGCTGGCTCTGTACAAAGTTGTTATATTATTCTCTATAAATTTTTATAAGTAATATTTCATAATAAAAAAATTATGAAGCTACTCTTGAACTAACAGCAACAATATATTAGAAATCCAAACACTGAAAGGAAACTGTTTTAATAGCCCTAATCTACAATGCCTTTTAAAAAAAATTCTGGGGCAGTAAGAAACTAACATTATTTTTTCGTTTTGTTTTTTAAATTAGACACAACAAAGTATATGTTCCAGGAGTTTGTGTTGCCTCTTTGGGTGACATGATAACGAAGAGTTTTCCATTCCACATGTAATGTATACCATGAATGTGAAATAATGATCTGATCAGTAAAACAAGGATTAGTTACAACTTTACTTAGTTACATGTTTGTCAATTTCTCAAGAATTTAGAGGACCTGTGTTTTTCACTGCTGCTTAGCTACCGGCAACATAAGTCATATGTCATATAAAAATCATGTAGAGCATTCTGAAGAGAAAGCTCATGTGGTAAAATCTACTCACAACCAGGCAGTCAATTATTTATTGACTAATTCCAGAGGCACAATGGCTACCAGATATGGTGCTCCTATGAATATTACTTTATTATTAGAGGTTACTGCTCCTTCAATTCAGGGCTTCTAGTGGGTATGAACTTGAGTCTCATAAAGATTTCTTTAAAACTCCAAGGGTAGCTTAGGACCTTAGAAAAGCATAAAGTACATCATAAGGAATATGCTACTTCTGTACTATGCAGAGAATGAATAGTCAAGGTCAAGGACAAACATAATCACTGTGCCTATCTCGTGATTTTTTGGTATAACCAAAGCTAATTTAAAAGTATTACTTGAAGTAGAGGGAAATAAAAATGAAAATAACCCATTTTTTTTTTTTTTTTTGATTTGGCCTATACCTTGTTTGGCTCCCCTGGATTATATGAAGAAAACATAGGAATTTTTCGGATTTCTTCCTCTGACAAACGATTTCTCTGGATCTCATCTTCTGGGATAAATTCTATTGGCTGCGTCAGCTTCTTAGGCCCAGTCCAACACTGCTGAGGTGAAAAATCAATAACTTTTGCCACATGGAGACTGGGACCTTTACCCTGTGCTGCCTGTTTTCCCTTGTCCTGGAGTAATGACGGGTTCTCAGCTGTGCCACTATCTCCCACTGATGTAGCTGACACCAGTGAGTGGGAAGCAAAGGGTTCACCTCTCATAAGTTGGAACTCTTCAAGACGTTTTTTCATTATCATCTCTTGGTAAAAATTTTCCAGGTTGTTCATGGGATCACCTTTGTTCTTCTTTTGGGGATCATCTGGATCAAGACAAAGAGATAGGGAAGTTCTACAAAGCCTACCAATACAACCTTAGATAAATTAATAAATTAAATCTTGGATCTCAGACACAGAAACTCTGCTGGGGCAGGTCTTTACAACCTGTGATAAATGACAAGAGTATATAGCTATTTTACTACATTGCATCCCAAGCAAGGCTGGGACTATGGTGAGTCAAGTGAGGCATCTAGGGTGCAAACGTTAAGGAGGCACTCACTCTCAGGATCATGTAAGTGCATGCACCTCTAAACAATAAGGGTATTAAAAATATATAACCAGTATGGCTTTATCACACTTCACAAAATTAATAATAATTCCTTATTATCATCTAATACCAAGTTCAAATTTAAACTGCCCTTTCTGAAAGATATCCTTTTACAGTTGGTTGCTCATTCAAGATCTAAACAAGTATTTGACTGCTATGTCTCTTAAGTCTCTTTTATTCTAAAACAGTGCCCTTTCCTATCAATCCTCCAACCCATTTTTTCTCCATACCACTGATTTATTAGAGAAACCAGGTCATTTACAGAACAAATGGATTTGGCTAATTGTTTCCTCAGGTGTTGTTTAACTTATTCCTCTAGCCACTGTATTTCCTGTGAATTGGTAGTTAAATACAGAGTTGTGCTATCTAATACAGTAGCCACTAGCCACATGTAGCTATTTAAATTCATTTTTAAAATATCAGTTCCTCAGTCCCATTAGTCACATTTAAGTGCTCAAGAGCCACATGTGTCGAAAGGATACCATACTGGACAGAGTAGATAAAGATCATTTACATCATTATAGGAAGTCAAATTTGACAGTGCTGATCTGGAGATCTGATTAGATACAGGTTTATTTTTTTTTTAGGCAAAAAATGGTGCTGTGTCCTTTGAACTACATTATATCATAAGGTATATAATGTTTGGTGGTCCCATTTTTAGTGACACTAAAATTGATCAGTGGATTCAGGTGGTATTAGTCTGATCCCTCCATTACAAAATTCTCCTATTTACCTTTCACCTAATGGCTTTTGCACCCATTGATGACCATGGCCTAGGATCTATTAATTTATTAAAGGTTACAAAATGAGGACCTCCTAATTCTATTATGTCTGTTTCATTTACTAGCTGGAATTGTATAATGAACTTACCATCATCAATCTATTTCATTTCCCTAAACACAGTTCATACAGGAAAGGCAAGATAAATGCTTGATTCTTTTCCATTATTTACCAATTATTAGAGTAATGAGTTGGTAACCTAGAAATGTCCAATGGTAAGCAATGATTATTGTTAGTATCATTAGGAGATGACTTATTTTTATATATTTGATGTGTTTCAATTAAATGTAGTCATGATTCTTTTGAATGATCAAGTTATCCCACCCAAACCTGGAGTATTTCTTCAAGGATCCCTGGTTCCTTTTAGTGGGAAATGGTATTTAGAAACCACAGTGTGTTGCTATGGGTGTTCACTGCTATTGGGCTGTTGTTGCTTCTAAGCCTTTTTCAGTGGATAAAGCTAGGATATATATTTATAGTAAAAAATAAATCATGAGTTTTACTGGTATGTCCAGTTCAAATTTAAGATTACAAAGCTTTTACTTAAACTTCTTGATTTTAGACTTGCATCTCTTTTCTCATATGTATAAAATCTTGGCTCCTAATATTAACAAAATTATTTACTAGCTTTTTCCTACAATTTCTTTATACTACAGA